GTAAAAACCATGGATATGTCAAAAAACAATCTGATATTGTTTTGCTGAGCGACGTACTTTTTTTGCTATGTTTTATTTGTGTTCAGTTTTTTCAGAAATTTTCGTTTATTTATTGCGAAAAATATATTTCTCATTTTGTAACATTCAATTGTTATTTACTCAAAAATTTTGTTATGGCAACATTTTTATACCTTTAAATCGACAATGAATCTAAAATTAAATTAAAAAAAATGGGGGGCTGCCATTTGAAAAATAAGGTGATGACGTCATTACTCAAAAAATAAATGACATCTGAAAATAGACGTTCCCTCAAAAATATGTGTTTTTATTAAACAAAATCTACCTTCTTCGACGATTTTTTCCAAAAAAAATTTGTTACACATTTACTGAATTTATTCCATACTTTAGGCGCGCATTGTATATTTACCGTTAACTAGTGGGATGAGATGTAGTACTTCCAAAAAACAAACTATTTTTCAGTCAGTCGTCCTTTCGTTTCTCTAAATAGTCTTGTCGTTGTTATTAGAAATAAATATAAATAAAACATTGATATATACACAAAAAAAAATAAAATACAACGTGCTGGATGCCAGATGTGCATTGACTATCTACCCGTACAATTTTGATAAACTTAAAAACCACACATAATATATGTTAATTAATTCGGTGTTTTGGACTTTTCGTCATTTTGTGAAAAAATTATTATTATATTTTGGTTGTTATTTAATTGTTTTCACTCTTAAATGATACGCTTGTTTTATAGATTGATAAAATTGGCTCAAATTTTTCAGAAGTCCTTTTACATACATAAGTAATTTTAAAGTATTTTGTGTTGTCGTTATTAATGTTATTTATATTATTGTTATTATCATTTTTAGTATTAATATTCAAAATTTTGTTTATTATGTGTTTTAGATAAATTGTTGATAACATATTTTTGAATATTTAATTTGTTTTGTTCTTAAAAAATATCATGTGACAACATTTGAGATCTACGTTTAAAATGTTTTATAATATTGATTTTCTGTTTGAAAGGATGGTTAGGGAAAGTAATTCAAATATATTTCAGAGAAGGTTGATTTATGAAACCAATTAGTAATAATATGCCGATCTTTTTTTCTAATTAGTGAAAACTCTAAGAATGCAATGGTAATTTTCTTTTTCAGTTTCAATGGTCAAATTTAATTTTTTATGGTAATTATTAAATATTTTTAAAATATCATTTATCTGACGTTTTGGCACTTCTGTGATTGTGTCATCTACGAATCTCATAATTGTAAAAGGGTAGACGAAAACGTAATTGATTTTAATATACGACGTACTTTGTAAGTCGAACATAATTAAATCGGAAAAGATAGATGACAGACAGTTTCCCATACCTAGACCATACATTTGTCTATAAAAATGTTCATTAAACTTAAAATAACTATTTTCTACAAAAAAAAAACTGGTTATTAAAAAAAAAAGTTCAAATGCATAATACTATTTAAATAAAGTCAATAATATTTAAATAAAGTCGTTTCGTGTATCACGTGTGTATTTACATTCCAATTTTTCATGTTTTCCCCAAATTTTCTTGATTTTTGTATTTTAACAATTACAGAGTAAACAGCGATCAATAAAAATCTTCTACTCTTCTCCACCCCACCCCCCTCCCTTGGGATACGGGAGGAGGAACTTAAAATAGAATATAAGGAAAATATTAAAGCTTTATGAAAACTTAGCCTATCTAATATCATATAAGTTGTAAAGGTCATTCAAGTGTAAGGATATATGTAGGTCGCATAGATATAAACTATATGACCATTATAGTTTATACATATCTATACGACCTGTATAATTATTTATTTATATATATTAAAATGAGGTCATTCGTAAATATGAATGACCTGTACAACTTATATGATATTACTGACCTTCATTATCTATTTGACCTTTATGACCCATATGACTTTTATGACCGTTATGGTAAGCCATAACGGTCATATTGGTCATAATCGTCGTATAGTTTGCTACATGTAAATGTTTATGTAAATGTATGTATGTAATGTATGTAAACACATTACATACATTACATACATTTTACATAAAAATGTAAATGTTTATGTAAATATGTACTAGGTATAAGTATGACTAAACCTGTATGTTTAGTTAAACAGGTTATATAGGTCATACAAATTATACAATGTCACAATATCATATAGGTCATAAAGTTCATAAGTGTCATAAAGACCATAAAGTTTATATCCAAATCTCACACTTTTTCTCAGAAACACAACACAATATTTGTGTTGTGTTTGTGATTTCCTCACTTTCTGATTTCACAAAAATCACAAAGATTTTAGAATTTAATTAAGTGGATTAACCGGATAAAAATAACTTAAGCGGTCTTCTTTAGAAAAAATATAAAAAAAATCATATTTATTCCAGCTTCAAATCGAATTTCGAATATTTTCGCTTGTTACATCGACATCCGTGTAACTACACCGTATTCATCAATCTATCACAGATAACAAGAGAGAATTCGTCGTTTTTAAACGTAACGCTTAAATCATTCCTTTCGTACCATCCATAATAACAAAGCAATAATCCGTGATTTATAGTGGAATGAAACTTCATAAAACCGTAAAAATTCATTTAGTAATAATGATATTAAGAGCGTAGTATTTCATGTGGCCCGGCAACTGTTCCTCTTGACGTCTCGTCCCGAACGGATCGCAACAGGTTTCAATAGTTCGATCGCGATTAAAGAGCTTTTGAAAAATGTCGGGAGCTCTGCGGCGCGTAACAGATTGCAGCAGCGGACGACCGTGTTCGGCGGTTATAAAGCTTATTCACATGTTTGCTTTTTAACCGGGCGTTCGCCGTTCGAATGTTAAATTAAAAAGTCATGAAATTGGAGGAGAGAAAAAAAATCAACGCCAACATCCGCCGACACAGACGCACACACGTATCAATTCATCAGGTTTGATTAAAGCTTAATTTTACACTAACGGCGCTGACGCTGTTGTATTGTTCATGTGGTTCGCATGCACGTCGGTATTTAAAAACGATTTAATGTTTTGTAGTTTATAGTCGAACCAACAAACAATGAAATGAGTCATCAGGAATCACTACAGATTGCCGAAGATCCATCCGCAGTAATTAGGATATTTAGTAGTGATGTGCGATTCTGTTCTAAATAAAAGTTCCAATTACAAACATGATGACTTAATTAAAATACCAATCAAAGGGTTGTGTCTGCCTCCCGTAGATATATAAAATTGCCATGGACTGTTTGCAAAGTCAGATCTATTTATAAGTTGATATAATTCATTTGTTAGAAGGAAGAGTGCAAAGACAAATAACATAGGTATATACCTTTCATGGTGGTAGGCAGGGCCACCGTCAACAACGTAATGTTATTGGCCTGTAGCCCGTCTCTTTAACCAATGAATTACTGGCATCAACTAACAGACCGAAGATATAACTTAGCCAATAATGTATATGTTGAATAAGTATATATCGACTCTATGTCTATTGACAACTATGTATATAAATTATACGAGAAGCAACAATGATCACTCCCGCTCTTCCTCCATCAAAATGTGATTTATGGCAATCTACTATACGCGACGTAACTTTTTATAAATCAGCGTATAATAAACTTTTCACATCGGTTATTTTAAAGGTAACAGTATGGGGTACCTTTTAAACTATACCACATCATCGACCGCCATATCATTCTCGAGTTCGCCCGTAATTAAATAATAAGTATACAAAAATAAGATACGTATGCAGACAAAAATATTCTTGTTTAAAAATTCAATAAACATTCCAGTTGCAATTGCAAGTCAATAACAAAGATACTAATTAAATATCAACATTTAGGTAATTTTCACGCTTAATCCGAATCAAAACTACCTACGGGATATGCAAATTCTTCTCATGCATACAGATATATTGTATACTTTGAAAAATATTTTTTCACCTCTGAGAAATAGATATTTGAAGCACGTATTTTTTTTAGCAATCAATGTTCTATAAAAATTTGAATACAAGCGTTTTTGAGATATCTAATTATGAATTTGTTATCAGACTTTCAAAATGCAAAATGGCGGATCCGATATGGTGAACTTAAATTTCGAAAAACGTTCAATTTTCTTAAAAATTGATATGTCGGGGTTTATTGACCACGAACCTGCTATAAAAATTTTGAAAAACCCAAATGGTGACATATTTATTCGCCATAATCAATCCGCCAATTCGAATTTTAAAAATCTGATAACTGATTTCTAATCAGCAACCTGGAAACTCCTGTACTCCTGTATACCAATTTCGTATAGAATATTTATGGCTAGAAAAATTGGTGCCCAAAAACCGGTTTATCTAAATTCACAAAATGTGCTTAAATTTTATACCTAATAACTAATTTGCTATAACTATTATTTTTTAAAGAATGATATGTATTAAAGAACGTTTAACCTCAGAAAGAAATTGTCAAGAGGGAACGGCCGAAGAACGAAAACGAGTTATACTTATGGTCTGCGAACCAAAAAAAATATTATTATTATCATATCGTACTTGGTCGCGGTCATGTTAAAATGACAAAAAGTATAATGTAAATTATTCTTAGCATCTTTGGAACTCTTGAATCGACATATGTTGCCTATTTACCACTCTTGCTGTAAGTCAGTTAGCACTTAGTGTAGTAGTTAGTAGCAGTTAGAACTTAGCAGTACTACTTCCGTTGCATTAATTTTTGTGGTTTATGTACCTAATCAAATTCAAATGAATGTAACTTATATTGCGTGTGACAAATGTCTTATGCTCATATAGTAATGCAAGTGATAACAAAAGAACTATGATTAAAAGTCAAATACCTGAAATATTATCATCAAACATCATCACATCACATAAATTCACATTCTCCCTCTAGGAATCATTATGATTGTGTCAGAGGGAGGGTATCCATAGAAACAGTGTAGGACACACAACCAAACCCTGTCACAGGTGTCAATATCCACAGGCGGGATTCGAACCCACGCGGATAATAACTCTTCCAGAGTAATCGTCATTTCGCACCAGGTGCTTTATCCACTGAGCCACAGCCGTCTTGAGAACAAGCCACTAAGTAGATGTGGCAACGTCGCGCCACAGCTAACTTGGGGTCCTGTTGAAATCAAACCGACCGCGACGATTTTAATTTGTGTTCATCTCGGCGCCTTTGCCGAGGCGTTTGAAGTAGATCAAATTTATTTTCTACATAATAATAGGTATATTTATTTTTCAAATACGTCATATATAGTTTTCTCTGCTTGGTCAATTAAATATATCAATATTGTATGTAAAAACCACACGTGAATCTACATAAAAACATGTGATATTCAATTGTTCAGCAAAACCAACGGAAAGGTGCAGAGCTAACATAAGCCCTTTAATAATATGAAGTATATACGAGGGGGTATAGAAAAGTAAGGTGTCCAACATTGCCATTTCCCAACGCGAATTGCTAGGTAAAATATGACAACAGCGCTGCATTCCTTGGTTCTCCCCCACAGTCTAGAACTGTCCGCACGACCTTGGGACGCTCAGTCGCTACGTAGTAGCCGTTAAGGATGGAGCTCCCCCCTGCGCTCGCCCGCCAGGTGTTGAACTGCGCTCAGTCATTCGTTTTTTGGATGCAGAAAAGGTTTCTCCGATAGAAATTCATCACCAGTTAGTGGAAGTATACGGTGAGAAGTGTATGGACGTTAAAAACGTGTGGAAGTGGTGCCGCGAGTTCTCGAAGGCCAGGAAAACGTCCATGATGAGCAGCGGTCGGGGCGGCCGAGTTTGCCGGACTCACTCACAACTCAAATCGAGGAGATGGTACGCAATAACCGGCGAATAACCCTTCATGAGATAGTGGAAGGTCTTAATGAAGAGTGTAGCTACTTCACCGTGCACAATATTGTGTCGGAGGTACTCGGTTACAACAAGGTGTGCGCCAGGTGGGTCCCTAGGCAGCTTACCGATGAACATAAGAGAAAGCGCGTGGAATGTTCCACAGAATGTGTCCGTCGCTACGACGAAGAGGACGAGGAATTTCTGGACTCTGTTGTGACTGGAGACGAAACATGGGCACATCATTACACCCCGGAAACGAAGCAACAATCGAAACAGTGGCGTCACTCGACCTCACCGAAGCCCAAAAAGTTCAAGACAGAAGTCAGCGGGGAAGGTTATGGCGACCTTTTTCTGGGACAGGAAGGGGGTTCTTTTAGTGGAATTCATGCCGAAAGGAACCACAATCAACTCAGAAAGCTACTGCGAGACTCTCAAGAAACTTCGGCGAGCCATCCAGAACAAAAGAAGGGGTATGCTCACGAAAGGCGTGTGTTTGCATCATGACAATGCTAGGCCACATGTGTCACATCAAACGACTACCCTAATCAAGAAATTTGGCTGGAATGTCCTCGAGCACCCTCCTTATAGCCCAGACGTTGCACCCAGCGACTACCATTTGTTTCCCGCTATGAAAAAACATTTGGGGGGGACAGAAATTCCAGTCCGACGAGGAAGTGCAAGAAGTAGTCGTCAGTTTCGCGACGCGGCTTCGTGACGCGGCGGGAGAGTGGTACGACACCGGCATTAGAAAGCTGATTACCAGGATGCAGAAGGTGATTGATCGTCAGGGTGACTATGTAGAAAAGTAGCTAACTGTTCAACCTTTAATACGATGTAAGTAAAGTTGTGAATAAATTTAATTTTCTATGAAAAAAAATTGGGGACCTTACTTTTCTATACCCCCTCGTATTACATATTGCTTACCTAATCAATGTAGGTACTATCGTGCAGGAAGGAAACGATAAATATATAAATTGGCACGCGTATTTTTGCCAAGAAAATGGAAAATAAAAGGTAGAGGAAAGGATATAACAGAAAATGATAAGCTAGATTAGGAAGAATAGACAGAAAAGGTGTAACAAAAAAAATTACAAAAATCTAAATGCAAATTAACAAAAAAAAGGAATAGAAATTAACACAAGACTAGATTTAATAATCAAATCATCATGTGCAAAGAGTATGTGAAAATTGTTTAGATTCTCTTGAACGGACGAATTAAGAATAAAGTTGGTCTCGGAAATGGCTGTATCTAAATGGCTCTAACTAATCTAACTTATATTGCTTTTTTAAATGTGTCTAATTTTAGTTTTTTCATTTTATTAACTGATGCCTGGTTGGTCTGCTGGTTGATTTTCAGATCGCTTATTACATATTTTTGAATGAGGTTTTAATCTGGTTTGTTCTAGAACTATATTGTTTTGAGTTTTAACGTGAATTTAGTATTTTCTTTATTTGGAGAAATATCCATACCAGACGATAGATACCGAAGATATCGCTTGGTAAGTAAAAGAAAAAATGTATGTAACACATTATACGTAGTAGGAGACTGAATATACAGTGGAGCATCGATTATCCGATCCTCAATTATCCGAACAACCGGTTAACCGAATCTCAAAATCCAACCGCCCCCCTCTTCTACTCCACGTGTGGCCTACGCGACCAACGTCAGTGCGGGCGTTGTGCAGTGGTTGTTCTCTTTTCTTTTTGGTACACATTGAAGTGTAAAATAAATTTGTGTATTGTATTAATGTTTGTTTGTTTGTTTGTTTATTTAATTATCTATGTACATACACATTATGTACCTACACCCCAAATAGGGTTTTTTTAAATTATCGGTTATCCGAAATATCAGTTATCCGAACCACCCTGGTTCCCAATTAGTTCGGATAATCGATGCTCCACTGTATATTATAAATGACATAATTATGGTACACGCAGAATATTTCCTTTTTAATTTTGTCACTCACATACTACTGAGTGTTTTGACGGTGTCCATTCTTTTCTGGGAATAGCTTTGAGCCATTTCTGCATTAATTCGTCCTCATTGGGGAATCCAAAAAATACTTTTTACGCCCTCAGTTTTTATAGAAGAATCGTAACGCAACACCGTTTTGGCATGTTTGTTTACGAATGAAATAAAATACGGAAAACACGCAAAAAATCGATTGTATATCGAATTATCAATACAATCCACTGCATCTACAGATACTACACTTCAATGTACAATCGTCTAAAGTACTTATCACGTTTAAAAAACTATATTTAACGCTAATAAACAAACGATTTCTTACATAACCACATATAAAGCCATGATATTTTATGTCGACTGTCGGAAGTATCGGACTACATTCGGCGTTGCCATTTTCTTATAGCGTGGCTTGTTCTCAAGACGGCTGTGACTATCGCCGCGTTATATATTCTATATATTTGCTTATTTTAAATACTACACTAAAGGTGAATGGGAGAAAATAGAAAACGTTAAAAATAAAATATCTCAAGCAACTATTGGGTTGGTGAAAAATATTGAGTTTTAGGGCAGAATTAGTGCGTCAAAAAACTTCTTCCCATGTGGCGTTTATTATAAACACAAAAAAAATACTTGTAATTTTTAGACATTCTGTAACTCTCAAATAGAGCGGAGATCTTGTAAATGACGGAAGCATGTACGTACATACATACGTTAGTCTGAAAAATTGTTTCAACGGACACATTGTCTATTACGTGCGGCACGTATACACAAAATGCGGTCCTCCGACGGCCAGGCGGTCATAAATTACAAGGAGTCCATAAACCTCGCCCAGCAACGTTATATAATATTGTAAGTAGTAAATTTGTTTTTCCTGCGATAACCAATAAATGCTAACAAATATTACAAATAGCGTTAAAACTGTGCCGTTAATTAAATTTATGGTTTTCTGTTCCGAAATAGAGCAATCGCTTTTGAGTTATTAAATTACACAAATATACACGAGAAGTACGGAGCATGCTGATGTATGTGTGTATGAATTCCATCGATTTGCTGTTTAAAACTGCTTATAGTCCAACCAAAAAATAATGAAATGAGTCATCACTAGTGATGTTGAATTTCGTTACTTTTCGATGCTTGTAACTATTCGTTATTTTCTAATACAGTATCCTTTTATATTCGTCACTAAATACTCATTTATAAGTGAGTACTCCGTTCAAGTACAATATGTTGAGTAGGCAGTTGTGACTAGAGCGAGGCGTCATCTCTGTGCAACATAGGCGTGCGCGTCCCTTAGTAAGTATAATAACAGAATAGTAATACAGTAACTGGGTAATCCCATGTAATATCTGATAATTGTTAAACACTTACCCTTTTACGTAGTGCTATAGGATAAGGTAGCTTGATTGGCTGCACTGTAATTACCGAACAGAAGAAGTAAAGATGCAGTTATCAGTGTTATCACACACAGGATATGATTTGTAAAACATTGACATTAGATATGATGCCACAGTTGTCTCGTGGAACGAGATTCGTCTTGATGAAAAAAATGTGTTTATATTGTGAGAAAGAGAACGATCTTTTTCACATCTAGATACTGATTAATACAGGTATAATTTTTTGGACCGACTTAACTTAAGATGTCTCCATGCAACAACACAAATTTGTCTTAAAGTGGTAAAATCGGAATCATTGTTTAAAACAATCTCGGACGTTTATAGAACGCAAGCTGTATTTACATCATCTACAGCGGATATCAGTGTATTCACTTCATCCACTATTTGCAGTGACTCCACTAGCTACATCGCAGTATTTTGTAAGGTTCTATTGCTTCATATATTCATTTATAGATGTTGTGAATAGTGTGTACATCGGTTTCAATGCAAATATCTTGAAATTTTGATTAGCTTTCCTTAATAGCTGCAGCATCGTCAGGGTTGAATTGAAGAACAACTTTTATTTCTTGAAAATATTCAGAATAATAAAAAAACTCCCTTTAACCATGTTCCCCAACGTGTACGAATCGGCTGTTCAGGAATAACGGGGAGACACTGATTTGAGAAGCACTGTTTTTGTACTTGCTAGAAATGCATCTATGTATCTCTGGAAAACATTTTCGAATATTTTCTGCTGCAAAATGTAAAGTATGCAATAGCACGTGACGTAAAAATACAAAAAAAAAAATTCAAATATCTCCACTATTTATGGACCAATTTTCAATTCAAATACAGAATACCGTTTAAAACTGTTAGAACATAAC